TACGTGAAGCTGCATCCGCTTGCAAACGAAGTGCGAAGCTAACTATATCGCAGAGTTTGCTGTCAATGGATCGGGCATTCCGGAAGTTCCATTCGACATTGGTGAGAGCTACGCTGGATTGCTGCCCATATCGGAAGATCCGGATGAGTCGCGTCAGCTCTTCTTCTGGTACGTTTACCAGCTTCTAATCATAGAAGGAATACTGACAAGCGCTAAGGTTCTTCCCGTCAACGCAAGCAGAGACGCCCAAGGAGGTCGTGATTTGGTAGGAGTGTCACATATGAAGGGAATGGCACGAGCTAATGATCGTAGGTTGAATGGTGGCCCAGGATGTAGTTCCTTGAGCGGACTTTTGACCGAGAATGGTCCCTTCACCTGGGAATCAGGCACACTTTCACCAGTGCAGAACCCATACTCGTGGACCAATTTGACCAACATGATATGGATTGAGCAACCTGTGGGAGTGGGATTCAGTCAAGGAACGCCGAACATAACAAACGAGATCGAATTGGCAGCCGAGTTCCGCGGATTCTGGAAGGTAGGTGTTCCGTACTAGTTGTGGGTATCCGGAACCATGCGACTAACAAAGGCAGAACTTCATCTCCACCTTTGATATGCAAAGTTGGGATGTATATGTTACTGGAGAGTCTTACGCCGGTTTCTACGTTCCTTACATTGCGGACGGTTTTATCAGCGCCAACGATACCGAGTATTTCAACTTGAAAGGTATCTCGATCAACGACCCTATCATCGGTGACGAGACCAATCAGCAACAAGGTATGACTCTCAATCTGCACGTAGCTCTGATGCTGACGTGTCCAAGTCGTGGATCTGCCCTACGTCGAGTATTGGAACAACTTAATCTCGCTCAATGAAACCTTCCTCGATCAGATGCGGGAGCATCAGGATTACTGCAACTACTCCTCGTATCTGGACACTTACTTCACATTCCCTCCGCCGCAGGAAGCCTTCCCCGTCCTCCCTGAGCCCTCTCGCCGGAACAACTACAGCTGCGACCAGTTCGATAATCTCTATGGTGCAATTCTTGAGGTTAATCCTTGCTTTAACATCTACCATATCACTGAGACTTGCCCCCATCCTTTTAGCCAACTCGGCATAGTCAACACGGGCGATTACCAGCCTCCGGGTGCTCAGGTGTACTTCAACCGCACTGATGTTCAGCAAGCGCTCCACGCCAAGGTTGGTACGAACTGGCAACAATGCACGGACGTAAATGTATTTGGCAATGGCACTGCTCGTGGGTCCGACACTTCTCCCGGTCCTGCTATTGACGGCACTCTGCAGCGCGTCATTGAATTCACCAACAACACCCTTATCGGCTCCGGAGATCTCGACTTCTTGCTTTCCACCAACGGCACTCTTCTGGCCATCCAGAACATGACCTGGAACGGTCTTCAAGGTCTACAAAAGTACCCAAGCACCCCGCTGTACGCACCATACCATCCCGAGTACAACGGCGGTGCACTTGCCGGGTCAGGCGTCCAGGGTGTGTGGGGCACTGAGCGTGGCTTGACCTTCTATACTGCTCACCTTGCGGGGCATGAGCTGCCGGGTTATACGCCTGGTGTCGCGTACCGCATGCTCGAGATCTTGCTCGGAAGGATCGACAACTTCAGCAACACCGCTAGCTTCACCACCCAGAATGGGAACTACACGGGTAATAGCACTATCAAGCAGTAGAACATTGTAGAAGTTTTTCCGTGCATAGTGTCTGTCCAACACATGAGTAATGCATGCAAATCATTCAAACGAACCAGTCCGTGACCTTTTGCAAAGTCCGCCGGAAATTTCCCCCAAGCCATGAAGAACGTGATGATATCCACCAGGGACTCATTTGGCAAACGTATATCATTCATGAACTCACTGCCTAGTACGTGCGTTTTAAAGCCTAAAGGGGTGTATAAGTGGACAATGGCAAGGCCGTTGCGCGCGAGAATACCTGCCAAGGCGCGGACCCATTCTGGCAGGTCAACGCCCGCTCGCGCCTTCTACGGGCATTTTCTAAGCATGCTGCCGTCTTTGGTAACATGCACTCCCGAACCGCCACCCAACTCATACAACCTCCAGCGACGCGCTCCACTCACCCATGTCGCAGACCACACACAGCGCCTCGTGTTTGCTCCATTCAGCGTTTGCGCGTCGCCCCAAGCGTTGAAAATCCACACAACCCTACCATCGTTACTGACAAAAAGTACAACACATACCACTCCACCTGAACCTACACACCTCTACCGGGCCCCCAAAGCGACGTACAGGAAATAGCGATGGGAGAGTTCCTGGACGACGATATGGTTCTCGGCGCATTCAACGATCGAAGGACGGAATCACACGCGTCGAGTTTCGGGTCGGTGCTGTTGCTCGGTGTAGCAGGACTGTACGCTGCCTTCAAGGCGCTGGAATTTCTGGAGTACCCGGTGTGGCTTTGGCTATATATGGCATTTGAGAAAGCAAGAGGATTGACTTTGCTCGGAGGCTCCTCGACTGAGGCTCCCTCCGCGGACGACAATACGAAGATGCAGAACAGCGGGAATCTACTAAGTAGGACATTCGGGGTGAACGGCTCTAGTCTGCTGCAAAAAGGCGTTCGAGGAGTGGCAGGTGCCTTGTCCAATGCGCCTAGCGACGTGCCTCCGGGCCTAGGAAATTGGGACAACTCATGCTACCAGAACAGCGTCATCCAGGGCTTGGCGTCGCTTCCTTCCCTCCGGGAGTACCTTTCCAGAGCAACCGCAGAATATCGTAACCTGGATACCGAGACTACAAACGGCGCACTCTACGATATGGTGAAGAAACTGAATGATCCGAGCAATCATGGGCAGAACTTTTGGATTCGTGGGAAGCTGAAGAGCATGAGCACTTTCCAGCAGCAGGACGCGCAGGAATACTACTCAAAGATCTTGGATGCGATGGACAAGGAGGTGCAACAGGAAGCGAAGAAGAGAAGGCCTAGCGACGCGTGGGCCGATGCCGCCAAGGTTGTTGCAAAAGAGTTGGAGGGTATTCCTGACGAAAGTATGGACAGTGAAGAGCCAGATGCTGAGCATGACATAGGACAGGCAAAGGCCATATCAAACCCGCTGGACGGCTTGCTAGCCCAGCGTGTCGGTTGCATCAAGTGTGGCTATGTGGAGGGTCTACAGCTCATTCCTTTTAACTGTGTCACCGTATCGCTCGGTAGAGACAGTACCTACGACATTCGCGAATGTCTCGACGATTATACGAACCTGGAACAAATCGAGGGCGTTGAGTGTGCGAAATGCACTCTGCTCAGAAACAAGGATGCACTCACACCCCTGGCGGAGCGTGCACCAGCATATGCAGAGAGACTGAAAGAGGTTGAGGATGCCCTGGAAAATGACGATTTTGACGACAAGACGCTAGTTAAGAAGTTCAAAATACTGAAGAAGAACTGGACCCAGAGCACAAAGTCACGCCAAGCGGTCATCGCTCGTGCACCGAAAGCGCTAGTATTGCATGTCAACCGGAGCATCTTTGACGAGATGACCGGCGCAATGTACAAGAATTCAGCCAAGGTCTCGTACCCGAGAGTGCTTGATCTTGGTAACTGGTGTTTAGGTAGCGACGTGGCTGGAGGGGAGTGGCCCAGGGATCCGACAAAGTCGATGCTGGGCGATGCAACTGCTGAGCCATTAACGCACTCTCCGTACCAGTACCGGTTGCGAGCCGCCGTCACCCATTACGGCAGCCATGCCAATGGACATTACGTTTGCTACCGGCCACATGCAAAGACACCTACCTCAAACACTGAGACGGATACAACGGAAGTTGCTGTCACTGGCGAGCAATGGTGGCGATTCAGCGACGACTCTGTGTATTCCATCCCAGAGCAGCAGGCACACCAGGGCAACATCTTCATGCTGTTTTATGAACGTATAGACGACGATGCTCCGGTTCTGTACGACACTGCGATAGCCTCCTGCACTTTTTCCGCAATGGAAGACGACATTCCGCTCCCTCCAATCGACAGTCTAGCTCATGCACCAGCGGACGATGTTGCAACTACAGTCCCGTTGCCAGACGAAGATGACGACTTGCTTGAAGAAGAACCAGCTGTCAATGCCAGCGATGACGCTCGACCTGCTTCGGGTAGTGTGACACCGCCACGCGGGAGTACCGCAGAATCAGAAACCTTGGCCACCCAAGTGATCAGCCCACCATCTCCCAAGGCTTCGGAGCCTGGTATTTCAGCCTACCCTACCCCACCGCCCGAATTCCCTTCCGCAGGCCCCATGGACGATCCGGAGATGTCGGAGACCGCATCGGAAGATGCGTCCTCCACGTCGCTCACCTCAGACGATAAGCCAGACGCTGATCAGACCACGAAAACGAGACAGCAAGCCAAGGCAGCACCGAGCCCACATTTCATGCGCACAGCAGGCACCTCTGCAAATCGAGAGGGTGGTAGTAGGACGAGCCTGCCCATGGTCACCGCTACTTAGAGCGTAGTCTTGTATTTGGGTAATTTTGTATCATCTGCATTGGCGATGGCGTTGCGGTTCTTTTGGTCTTGATTGGGGGTTGCATGTGCTTTGGAAGGTGCGTGGACGATTACGGGCGTTTAGACCCTGTTGCCTCTTGGGTCAGGTAGGCGTTTGATAGCATTATTCATGAGGCATGACGTTTAGTGAAGCATGTGCAACACATTACTCTAATATCATATGTTTCCTGGAGTCGCGATTGGACTGTATGGTATTTGGTGTTCATGGGATGATACGGGTGGGAATGGACTTGGTCTTTGATGCAACGCAGGTACAAAGCTTTCCAAGACGTTTATAGCCACTACCTTGGAACTGCAAGAAAGAAGATATGGACATCCCCAATAAGCACCTACCCAAGACCTTAAGTAGGTCTTTATAGTTGCGCCGGTGGCATGCCTCTCCGGGCTGATTTAGGGCCAAAAAATTCGCTGTGGTTCTATTGCCCTCCACACCTGCAAAACGGCAAAAATAAATTCTTTTTGACCATGCCAGGGGTCGAACCTGATGCGATTTTAGCACGATCACGTGATAACAGGGGATTAGACAATACTGACCTGGAATCTCTTGATTTACTGCATCGTAGTCAAGCGCCTTGCCATTGGGCCACATGGCCGTTATGTGATCGATACTGAACTCGTTCGTATAACTATATATATAGAGAGAGCGAAAAGTACGGGATGCTCATCCTTGCCAATAAAATCCCTCTTTGGCGGGGCACCTGGTCAAGAAGTGGGGCGCATTCACTTTCTTCACGTTAGCATTTCGTGCCGCGTCCCGTACACCACCCTGTTCGCGCATATCCGCATATCCGCTCTGCCGACATCCGACCCATCCCACAGTAGCGCGAAGCTGACGGGCATAGGTTCCGGTGCGGTTCCTGTAAGCTAGCCGATACGTAAGCTGGCCACCCGGGTAAGCTGGCCACCCCACCAAAACACGACACCTGCACAAAACACACGATTTCTCAACAACGCTTCTTATGATTGCCATTGACTACACATAGATTCAAGCGCTGCAGCTACTGTAGCTCTAGCAGCTGCTTCTGAGGTGCTTAATACAGTAGATCTACGTGGTTGAACTGCTGAAGCCTCGGCTGCGCGCATAGCCTCCCTGATACTCTCTACCTCTGCAAAGCGTTGATTTAGGTCTACTCGAACGCGCTTACGCTGACGCTGAGAGGTAGATATCTCTAGCTGCTGCTCAAGTCGTCTTTTCTCTGCTTCTA